TCGCGCAATGTAGTAAACACCAAAAACTGTGTCTTCACTTAGTTAAATGTAATTATGACATTTTTGTGTTGCTGAAAGCGTTCCGATCTCGCCAGCAGTTCGTAAAACCTGAGAAAAAAGTTTATTCGATTTCTTTGATGTTACCGCGATCCGATTGATATATTTATATGGAGCAGACCATCAATCAAGTCCTTCATTTCCTTTCCTTTTTATTTTGTTGAAAATCGTTCCCGATTTTTTATTATTCACACGCCATTGAAAAAAATTTATATTATTCGAAACAAACAGCCAATAATGGAATTGTTTTGTAGCGTCGATTAAAAATGAAATTGGCGAATACACTCATATCGATGTCAATTTGCAACTATTAACCCAATCGAACGAATTATCCGACGGATCACTCACTTTCTTTTCAATTCATCCCAATTTTAGATTGATCCGTTGAAAAGTCAGTGGTAGGTAATTTCGCTTTTAATCAAAGTTTTTTTTTTAGTTTTCTGTTTCTCACCTCGCTTTTTCATTGCCTTTTTTTGCAATTTGCATTTTGATGCCTCATGTAGTCTCCATTTAAATTGATCCTTTTGGATTTATTGAGGCCCGATTGCATTGCATTCTTCAAGATCGCCACCAACTGCAAAGTCCTTTTATCTCCGTTTCACACGAAAAACTTGTATGTATAGTTAAACATTGTCCCAGAAAAGAGAAAAAATGGCTGGCGGCAGATTAAAACAACGAGTCCAGTCCCAGAGTGTAGTGTTCGTTTTAAAATATGGACAATTTTTTTTTGTTTAAAGATTATGGATAAGAATCTGGATGTTTTCAATATTGGGAGCCTACTTTTAACGAACTCTGCATTTTTCCTATAAGCTTGATAATTCCTTATTTTTGCCGCTTGAGACAAGCTTAACGCTAATTTGATGGTCACATATTTTTATAAGAATCTTCTCCTTTGTCTTTATTTCACTCAGTTTTCACTTATCTTTTTTCTATTTTTTTCAAATAACCTTACACGTCACGTTGTCCTATCTCTAATGCGAATTAAATTAGGAGAAATTGGTATTTTATTGAACTCGACACTTGAGTAAACATTTCCAAATGCTCAATATTGTTTTTTGGATTAGAAGAATGGTGCCCGGATATTAGGACAATTTTTTACGTATTGGTTTTCTGTGAAAAATGTACAGGAAATTAAAATCAATAAATCACCAAGAAAGCTCACTATTTAAGAGCGCACCATTTTCTTTTTGTTCGTTTTCAGCCCAAACATGTTATATGTTTTTTGTTCGCTTTGATTCTTTGTGTTATACAAACATTCCCTTCAATGAATGAATAACATGATTCATTTGGGGCCAGACCGTAAAAGAAACAGCAGCAATTATTCCGGAAATAACCATATTATTTTGATTGGTTACCCTGTCATATGCCTATCCGACCGTACGGCGTGTGTTTCCCTTTAGATATATATATAAAATTATATGCGATGCAATCCATACGGCAAACTAGTTATGCGTTTATTGGAAAACTCGAAAATTATTGTATTATTATTATATTATGCAGTTGGTGTTGTTTTTTTGCGAAACATTTTTTTAAACAAACACACCTAATCTGTTTCCTATTGAAATTGGTTTAAGCTTGTGTAATTGCTTCCTTTGAATAGAAGGTCTACGGAGCAACGAAAATTTCTATTTTGCTGCTAGAGCATACCCGAATTTAACGTTTCGCCTAAATATTACGTTAATATGAAATCATTAAGGTGTAAAAATAATTAAAGCTTTCTGATTATGCTTTATAATCTTTTCGCTTCTCTCTTTTTTCTCTCTCTCTCTCTTTCATATCAACATCATTCATTAACATTTCTGAAAAAAATAAACCTTCAATGCAGAGATGAATTATTAAACACAGACAATTTTTTGGCCTTAATTATAGGTTTGAAATTGTAATTTATATGTCTAAAAACAATGATTCCTGGTTTTTTTCAAAGACGCATTTTTATTTTTTAGCTTCAACTAGCTGTTTCGCAGCGGAAATTCGATACTATATGTTTATTAGCTCCACGCTCCTGGGATTAAAAAATATTAACGGATGTGCAATAATTCTTTTCTAATCAATACATTGCCCAATATCCAACTTCTCTAGAACCTTTTTATTAGCACCAGAACTTTGCATTGGCAAAATTATATCGGGCTTGATTAGATTTGATTTATTTTCGTCGAGGAAAAAAACAATAATAATTTTGAATACATATGTCTACATATAAAATTGGTGAAAAAAATCGAATTCAAAAAGTCTGCTGCAATTCTTCGAAAATCAGCGCTCGCTAATCCGATTGAAGAATATCTGCTGGGCGATTAGGTTGCAAACATCTCTTCCATGTTTTTCGCGCCATTGCTTTTGTTTTATTCTATTTTTTTCACGCGATACGCGTGTACCAAGTTCTTTTTGGTTCGTTTATATCTAATTACTCTTATTTTTTGGCAATATGAATGTTGATTATTTGTTCTTCTTATCAGCAACATGCTCAATTAGAGTAGAATGTATTGATTACCTCTTATTGATAGGATAGCGCAGTCAAGAAAACACTATTTTCTCAGATAAAAAATTTATGTACAATACATGCCTTGAAAAACGCTTATCCCGCCTTGCAATACGAGATAATGAAGATAGGATGGAGATGAGTGAAAGGATGTAGACTATGATGTCGCCACGAAAAAATGCAACTTTATCTATTTAAAAACGGGTTTCGATTTTCTTGCAACCATTTCATTTATTGCTATTATTTTGTCACGTCCCACATTATTCTCTTTTAAATAAACAATTGATAAAAAAATACCAAAATTCCCAGTGAAGGGTAAATCTATCAAGTTTTGGAAAAAAACCAGTTTCAACGTCATGTGAGTGATAAACTTTTTTGCCTTCAAGGAATGACAATTACAAACGTTTGAATTTGGTTTGATTTTCTCAATTTTTTAGGGTAGACATTTTGGTGTCCTATATACGTATTTTAGAGAAAGTGATAATGGTTCATGTTTTTTTCTTGTTCGTATATTGGGCTTATTCAAAATTTTTTCCCACAATTTTATTCTTTTTATTGGTCAAAATACCACAATTTATTTGTACAGCTGAATAGAACAGTTTGAAAGTATGTAGATAGAAAATTTTAGAAAAAAATGTTATACTTAAAAATTGAAATTGCATAAATGAAGATTGCATAATTTAAAAGGTTATATTCTGTATCAAAATATTTGTTGCCAACTACTTATTTCCCGAAATTCGTGACATTATTTGCCAGTTCGTGTGTCAATAAAGGCAATCGACCACACACTCCTCTGATGCATTCAAATCGACAAAACAACTGTCAAAAATGTCAGTGAATATTCATTGCAATTATTAATATTTGGTTATACTAGGCGAATTGAGATAATGTTGTTATTAGAATGGTCTTCGGGAGGGTTGGGCACCTCACCGCCATGTTTGCTTTCTTTTTCGCCTTTCCTAAGTGTCACCAAACGCTTTGCGCACAAACCCGTCCTACCTCTTTTGCCCCCGATCATCAATGCTTATGAGCTGGTCTTGTATTTATTCAGAATCAGCGTTTGATTCAGTTCCATATTGGGTTTCACACATTACTGCTGGTCACCCGCTTGTTGTTTTCATGTTATTCTTCAAATAGGAAAGAATGAAACTAAAAGTTGTCCGTAAATGCATAATTATAGTATCTTGATGGAAATCACTTTCGGCCTTCTCTCTTATTAAAAAGTTTTTAATTCCGTTTCATATATGTATGTGAATTGTTAGATTTAAACAGTATGTAGTTACAAATGGCAGACAAGATATTTAGGCAAACTGTGCTGTGTAAACATGCTTGTTTCAAGTCGCCAAAAATTTTTTGTGATACATTTCCAGCCGAAAAACTTGGCTTAAATTTTCTCGTGTTAATCGAATCAAAATTGTTGTTTTCTGTTGTTTCAGGGCGCCGGACGACGTACATCGTTTGATTTTTTAATGATGTTTTTGATAGCTCGCCGACTGCTAATTTCTAGTAGAGGGCGTTTATTATACAACATTAAGGGAGAATTTATGACGTCTTTTTCTTCTTTCAAAAAAAGAACTTAATATTTTTCTGAAATTCGTGTTAAAAGCATTAATAGTACACTTTAATGATTGTTTGCCCCAGTTTCCATAAAGTAAATAATTCTCTCTCTCTCTCTCTCTCTCTCTCTCTCTCTCTAAAAAGCATAATTGTTTCGTAAAAGACCATCTCTCTCTGACATTCTCCTTCGTGGTAAACTTAAAATAATAAATTGCTAAATCTTTGATCTTGACACACGTTTTTTGGCTTCATCTTGGAATGCTTATTGACCGTAGACAAAAGAATGGAGTGAAGGACGAAAACCATGAATTCAAAAGGATCATTTAATATTCAGCGGGATTAAGTGAATGAAGACTAGCGGAGTACATCGCATCTTTCATTTTTCTCGGATTTCATTTCTTCTAATGGAATCGTCGTAGCGTGAATATTCATGAAGAGCACGTGTCTGTAAATAAAAGAACGTGCGCCTGCCATTTCTCAATTTTCCCGAGATATTGTAAATTATCCGTGTCAACATATATGAGCCAGCATTATCAAGGAGTGTTCGCACAGTTACGGCCAGGTGCTCTATATTGAACATTTACTCACTTTGAACCATACAGCCAAAGTTTTGTTTTCACAATTTCTTTTCTACATACAGCTTCACGTGTTTTTTTGATTAAAAAGATAATGGCCCTAGATATCATCATCACCATCAACAATCGATTGGCTTTCTTACAGTATACTCCTCTTCAATTCTTTACGTTCATTGTTTGATAATTGTTGAGCTATTATACTTTTAATTGTCGTCCTCTATTAACTATTCGTTATTCCAACTTGATGAGCGCTTTTTACTATAATTGAAATTGATGTTTGCAGAAATAGACGCCGGTTTGGGAAGGGGTCGATGAATGTGTGAAATCGGTCGGATATGCGTTGCAATTTGAAACGATTATTCACTTTGGCGTTTCTGGTATTCGCCACAACACTTGTCATTCTATCATTGCCTAAGGAGAACTTTGGACGTAAGTTTTATTTTTTTTTTATAGCTCTTAATGCTTTAAAAATATAATTTATCTCTTTTATGAGTTGTAGGCTGCCAAATCGGTTTAGCGTTGGCGTACTTTGTGCCATTTTGCGAATATTCCAGTCTTTCCAATCAATTGTTTTTTTCTCTTTTTAATGAAACGCAATTTCGTGGGATTTCTGGCAGTTTTGAGAAAATTTCCGATTAAAACTACACGTCATTTTGTGTGGGAATTTGTTGGGAAAATTTTACGGTATTCGTAATTTAGGAGAATGGGAGCAAGCGCCACATTCAAGGGAAGCGAGAGCTGAGCCGATACAGCGGGATCATATCCCATCACATGGCCAGAAATCCTTACCTCGACAACCTAAACCACCAAGTTTGGAAAGGAAAGATGATGGAATTGATGCATTTGGTATTCAAAAGGAAATTGTGAAAAATTAAATTTCTTTTCAGATTTCCAAGTATCTTCAAACCGTGTAAACCTGCAAAAACTGTACGGTTTTTTGAAAGATTACACATTTGATGATAAAACTAATCAAGAATGCAGAAAAAATATCACATTAGCTCAATATTGGGAAGAAACTGAAGGGTATGCATTACCAATTATGTTTCAGTCATTTAAAAATTATTCATTTTTAGAAGATCTGTGCCGGAAGATGATAACTGGGAACGATTCTACGCTAATATTGGAAGTTGCGCAGTATACAGTGACGATACTATGATTGACAATCTACTAAATGACTTAAACACTATGCCAATCAAGCATGTTCACATAATGGATGGAGGAACTCAAGTGAAATTTGTGCTGACATTTAATAATGACAAACAAGCAGTATTCAAACCGATGAGATTTGGAAGGGATTATGAATCGGACCCAAATCATTTTTACTTTTCCGATTTTGAAAGGCATCATGCCGAAATTGCGACATTCCATCTTGATAGGTAAGAAAAAAATAGACCGCCTCAAAACATCATCATTTCTCTTTGAGAATTCTCGGTTTTCGGCGCGCTGTTCCTACGGTTGGACGAATATTGAATATGACAACTGAGCTGTTCGAAAAAGCCGAAAAGAAGCTGAAAAAGACATTCTTCTATTCGCCGGCAAAGAATTTTTGTTTCGTCTCGCGCTGCGATTATTATTGTGATACGACACATGCGATTTGTGGATTTCCGGATATGAAGGAAGGTAGTGTGCAAGTCTTTTTGCCGGATGAAACAGCAGTGCCAAGGAAACATAATCGAAGTCCTTATAGAAGGTGAGGAAGTCAAAAAAGCGGGGAATGAATAATGAATACAAGACAATTTACAGAACGTATTCGAAAAAGAACCAACTTGCCGATTGGCAGACCGATATGAACTATTGCACCGAAAAGGTCAAATCAAAGAGACAATACGCTAATGGCCGTAGGCTATTAGATCTCATAGATTTGCATATTTTAGACTACTTGATAGGTTATTCGCATCCTACTTCTAATCAAAAAGTTGTATTGTTATCAGGAAACCAAGATAGACATCATTTCGAATCATTCAATGTGTTTGCATCCATTCCATCGTATGCAGTTCACCTTGATCATGGAAGAGCGTAAGTGCACTCAAGCATATAAAAAAGAATAACATATTGAAAATTTCAGATTCGGACGAAGCGACTTTGATGATGATGATATATTGTTGCCGTTAAGGCAGTGCTGCTTAATAAGACCATCTACTCTTCAAACTTTGTTGCATTTTTACAGCAAACCAAAATCTTTATCAAAAACCTTACATAAGTAAATTTTTTGTAGAAAATAAGAGAATAGCTTTCAAACACTTTTTTCCAGATCAATGGCGAAAGATCCAGCTCATCCAATTCTTGCTTATAAGCACTATCCAGCAATTGAGCGGCGATTACATAAATGTGAGCGTCTTGATGCTTTAATTTTTTTCTTCTAATTTTGTGATTTTTTTAGTAATGTCGTACCTGGTCCAATGTTTTGAACAAAGTCCCGCCAGCGAGATAATCGTGCCAGAATTCCACAACACTGACGTCACCGATAACGACGAAGATGAGAAAAGTGAAGAAGATGAAAAGAAAGGCGGAAAGAAGACATAGCCTAATGTTTTTTTTACTTCCCACATCTCCTAATTGTCTAGGATTTAGGTGAAATTCACCAAAAACACAACATTTCCTCTAACAAAAAAGTGACTTTATTTGCGGGTACCCTTTCAAATAGCTTAACTAATATTATGAAGTTTTATTATTTTAAATTTCCATTTTGTCTCATTCACTCAGTGTCACAAAATTATTGCTCATTATCAACTAATGAGTTACAAGAATTGTGAGTTTTGCACAATATAATTTCTGGTCGTACAGAATACAACAAATCGCTTCTCCAAAAAAATTGAATGGGTACTAAACTTTAAAAAACGAATAATTGCCATTTAATTAAATTTTATGTTTAAGTCTTTTTTGGGTAATTTTGTGAAATTGCCAAATTTAAACTAGTTTTGTTTTCATCCCATGTCTCATTTTATGTTTTTGCTCTTGTTTCCGGTGTTTTTATTTTCAAACTAATTGTATGAGGTGATATAAACGAATTAATTTATCTAGTTGATGTCTTTTTCCGGCATAGGACACTAATATGTGGAATTGTCGTAAAACGCAATATTTGGATTGTTCTTCTTTCAACTGAACCATCTGTAAACATTGTTCTAATGTTTGAAACAAAATCAATACCAAAAAATATATGATTGTTTTTGTTTCACCGCAGTAATACTCCGCTTCTCAGCAATAACACACGAGCATATGCCGTGATCAACTCATCTCAAAACATTTTCATTACACAACATCGCTCATTTTTGTTGACTTATTTTTCGGTCAAAATAGAAAATTCAAGTTTTGACATAGTTTTGCACTTTAAAATGTGAACACGGCAGAAATGATGAAAACAAAATAAATTATAGTGTTCATTTTAGACTACAATAAAACATAGTTTTAATTTTTTCTCTACACTATAATTTATTATATATATTTTTTTCAGAAATAATACTTATATTTTTCGTAGAAAGTTGTTAATGGTTTTAGTAAGTCAAGTTAGAATGCCTTTTTAAAACAAATAAATAATAAAATTTTTCTTCGGGTATTTTTCCTGCCTATTATCTCTCAATCGCGACATTTTGACAGTTTATCGTATCGCTAGTCCGCCAAATAAAACCTGGCGACGTGTCCATTTATGCCGTTCACTCGAAAGTTGCAACCGCGCTCCATCGTACGAATTATGAGTGTGCAGTGTTGACAATTTTTTTTGAGTTTTTATATATTTCTTCTAGCTGATTAATGGGCGCTCTCTTTTCCCGTGCACGATCGCCGGCGACGGAGCTGGAACGTGTTGCATTAGAAATAGTGGATCTCGAGCGAAAAATCGTCAACATTTCGAAGGTAGCTCAATTTTTTTTTATTTTTGCATGTAAAAAATTATTTTTAAGAGACACGCTGCAACATGTCGCTACTATTACTCAACATTCGTTGCCATATTTGTTGTAGTTTTTGCCCATATTTGGCTTCGTTATGACAATCCCGTGCGAACTTACTATTCAATTGGGGTAGGATTAACCGCAATCTTTGTTATTTTTATTGGACGCTATTTCATTAACGCATTTTACAATTGGAGAACCAAAGTAACCGTTCAAGTAAGCAAAATCGTTACGCACTAGTGCTATGTAAGATTTTATTCAGAAATTGGAGCATAGCAATTCTCAGAAGCAAGCCCTGCTTGACGTTGTGAAAGAAACATTGAACTTCAAGGTAATTTCTTTCGGTTCTGTAATTCTGATTTTGAATTGCATTTTAAATTCAGGAGGCCAAAAAGATTCTTGACCGCTATGAAAAACCTGAAAACAAATCATCGTCTGAGCCATCGGTCAATCAAAGTGCTCCGACTACTCCAATAATGGGACGTCATCCAATTCATCAGCGTAATAATTTCACCCCAACGGAAATAGGAATGACTCCGAATCTCAAGAATTCGTCGGTCATTAAAAATGGTGAACACATAATTTTAATATTTTTTCAATCAAAAATTTTTCCAGAAACTTCATTCCAAAAACCTATGCCTGACACGAGTTATAAGCGTCCTCCCAGTTCTGTGACTACCAAATCAAGTCCACCAATGAAATTTGGTACCCCAAATCAGATTCAGAAAGGATTCATGAACAAACCGGAGCCGATTCGCCCATATCTTCGCCAAAATGGACCATTGGATCGTATTTTAGATTATTTCATGTCGGATGGCCCTTCATGCAGGTAAAAAATTTTGACACAGTAAACGATTCAACAAGTTTCTTTTAGAATGGCTTTGATTTGCAAGAACTGCGGCACACATAACGGAATGGCGTTGCCTGCGGAAGTTCCGTTTTTGGATTTCCGTTGTTTCGAGTGTAAAACGATGAATCGCCGTCCAAATCAGGGAAATCAAAAACCACCACCACCGCAGGATTTCTCCACAACGAATACCGCATCTGAGGTAAACGTTAAATTATCGTTTGATTCTTGAATAAAACGAACGGAAAATGAAAATCTGTCAGTGTTTGCTGAATAGGCCCACTAATCAATTTTACAAGTTGATTATTTCAGAAGGTTCCGCACAAGCCGGCAACTAATGGAAAAAGTTCATCAAATCTCATCAAAGATGATCAATCATCACTTGGTTCATCAGAGAAAGAAAACTAGTGTATTATTAGTAAGTGTCAAATTTTCTTCTATAAAAATTAAAAGATTATTTCTCAAAGAGAAGCTGAACATTTCACCTTTCCATGAAAGAGTTGGTGACGTTTCTTTCGATCAAAATTATTGCGCCAAGGCCTTGTAAACATTTTTGATCTTCTCTAGAATGAAATTCGATAAAATATACAATATTTATCAGAAATATGGTCATTTCGCGCTAATATGAAACATTTTTAACATTAGTCTTTATCATTATTTGTATGTCATTTCTTGGTCAATGATCTTAAATTTTTTCAATAAAATGTAAAGTATTTTCTTCTTAAGAATATTGTTTTCCGTTGCAGATATTCTTTCCAATACATACATGGTGCAATTGGATATATCGGGTCTTGGCTGTAAACCCTTGCCATATTATATATATGTTTATTTATATTTTTTTAAATAAATAAATCATTAAGTATATTCCTCCATTCGATTTTAGCGTCAATTTGTGAACGATTTGCAAGATCTCCAACCATGGCATGTCAATCACGTGCAAATTCACGCCTTATAATTTAACAATTAATTTAGTCTATCAGGGCGAATCAATTTCCAAAGTTTTTTTTTTATAACAAAGAAGATGAAAGTTCGTAAATATGCAAACATGTTCACATACACAAATAAAGAGCGGAATTGATTCTGAATGCACAAAATAAAAGTAATGACCAAAACTACTTTCACGATTTAAAAAATTGTTTATAGTTTTTACGAATAGTTAGATGTTTTTGCAGAATCGACAATTGTTGCTTTGGTGGTACGGATCGCACCAGTGTTTTGATAGCCACGACGAGGAGGACGAGCAAGGGCAACCGGCTGGTAAGCTCTCCGACGGACCACTTCCGTAGGCGACTTCTGATCATTCGGGCTTCGTTCAACCTCAACATCCCGAATAACTTGATGTTCCTATCAACTTACCATCAAGCTGAACAGCGCATCCTGATCACGGACCATCAGCAATGAGTTAAGGACTGAATGGGGTTGACGACCTCTAAATAGTTTTCCCTTTACCACTCATTACGCGTTCTTCGTTCAGAGTTACTAAGAGTTTGTTTTTTGGCGGCGCAATTTGGGTTTGTCGTACACAATTTTTTGCGATTTCGTTACCTTTAGACAGTTTGGTCAGTCAGAGATTATTTCTACTTTCGAGAGATGAGTAATAGAGTCGCTAAACTCAACAGGGTCTTTTTGCATACTCTGAACCTAAATCGAGACATTTCTGGAGTATTCTAAAAAAAACTTCTTCGAAGATTCCCTTTCCTTTCTATCTGGGCGGTAGAACAATCGTATTCTCCTCTATCCTCTGAACAGGTAGAATACCTGCAGATGGCAATTTTAGATGGACGAAGCCCAATTTTTGCCGTTCTCTTGGTTGAGACGTTTTGCTTATTTTGTTAGTGCACCCAGCAAAGTTCGACAGTCGAACGACATAATTAAAATACCGAAAATTTTGCGAAGCAAAAATAAAAAGACATATGTTGAGCAAGCAGCTTTTTAACGAAATTGGAGTGAATAAAATATTTTTTTTTGTGTGCATAAAATAATAAAGAGACATTCTAACGAGGACATGGTTATCGTTTTATTTTCGAAATTTTTTTACCAGTTTTTCTTATACGTTAGATGGTTGGCTAAAAAGATGGAATCAATAATAGTGTTATACGAAAAAACTGGTGGTTAACGGTGTTCGGTTATGATAGAATACTGATGGTATAATTGAGAACGAGTGGGCAGGGATTTCTTTTATCACCAAAGCGTTGTACTACAAGAACACCAAAAAAGGGCACTTTGACACATTTTGTAGTACACATAAAAGAGAAAACCGCAAACTCACACAATATTCTTTCACTAGCTATTCAAGACGGGTCGGAGCTCCAATCATCACAAAGATGATAAAAATTATCAAACTTTCAAAAGAAACATACAATTAACATTAAAAAACAAAATCAAATTTCCTTTTGGCTGATAATAGACAAAAAATTGTAATGAGAATTGCATTTTAGCGATTTAAACGTCCTGCTTGATATTCCAAACACTGAGCCTATGTTCCTCTTTGCGAAGTAGTAATGTCACCAAAATAAAAAAAAATCACGACATTTATCTGACCTATAGGACCTAGGTAAACGTAGCTGCACATGCAAAAACTGCTGTCACACTCACTTGTTCGCACTGGAAATCCATCATCAGTTTTCTTTCATGACTAGGCACCTTTAGCTGCCAAATGCATATCTGCTGCATGATATCATAATTGGTGGAGACCGTCCTAACCGCCAGGCGGTGAGAAAAAATCGGGTATGTCTATTTTTAAACAATAAAATATGTTAACTAAGAGAAATTAGTAGAAATGTCCACGAAGCAATTAATTATGAAAATCAAAAGATCTCGCGGTAGAAACGCTACGGTTTGAGATTATACGCCGAATCTTCTTTTTTTAATTCAACTTATTTATTTAAAGCTACTTCACCAAACTCTTATCCTTTTAATGAAATCGAATCTCAATATTAATGAACTGAAATGAAACAGAAAACTGCGGAAAGTGATCGTCGTTCTTCCTCAGCGTTCGCTTTGCATAATTGCCCGTCAATGAATATTTTTCGACGATTCAGATTAATCGTGTTTTCGCTTGGCATCTCAAGCAATTCACATTCTGTTTTTTTTCCGAGTAGAAAAAAATCAAATAAAAATAACAAAAACTTTTTATGGAATACTTGCTGCTATTTAAAGGTGCATGAGTATGAGAAATGTTCACAAAAAAACGTTTCGAATAGTAATTTCAAGACACAAATGAGTCGTTTACTTTCTTCCAAAACGAATGAACTCAAACTTGTTTCGTCGCTTCTCAGCAGCCATTTTCAGCGGGTGTCCGCCTTCCTGAAGGTTCTCAAGCTCCGTCAACGCGTTGAGCAATTGCTCAGTGACCTGAAACGAGTAACGATACCTAGAATTCTTATGAGATATTGGAATACCTTGTTTAATCCGCTATTTCTAGCTTCTCCGTCGTAAAGTGCAGCCATTTGTGGTACAACTTCTGGCGATCCTTTGGCGCCGACTGGAAAAAGTATAAGTGAATCTTGATTATTCCCTAGATGCTTCATGCTACTTACACTTTTGGGCGAAGGCAGTTGAAATGAGGAAGAAAATGATTGAGACAACAGCAAGAGTGTTCATTTTCGAAGAGCGGTGTTTCCCAGAGACGGGTTTCTTAAAATGAGCTTTACAAAATCAAGCCCGCCACGTTGGGTTCGTCGACTGGGCGTGGCTTTCGAATCGGCGAAGGAGAGACAAAAAAATTGTGGGCGAATCAAAAAGAAGCGGAAAAGAAATGAAATCATTCATGCTCTCGGCGTGTGGACGATCCGGAGGCTGTTTTCCGCCAAAGACAAGAGTTCCAAACAAAAATGGCGTCGAAATTTGGGTGCGTATTGTGGCGCGTATCCGGCGCCTAGTCAAAAAGTGATGCGAGTTTAGCACGCACAAAAGACGCAAATTGGGATCACGTCCGATGAGAACTAGACTTATTTTTTTGTTGATGATAGTCAGAAAAAGTGAAGAAAAAACCTTCCCGACTTTTGATCATCTTCCGCCAGAGTATATGTTGTATTTTCAATTGTTATTCGTCACCGAAAAGTTGCGGAACTCATAAAACTGCATAACTTAGTTGTGTTCCAAATGGATTTTATTAGATGCTCCATTCGCGTTCAACCAAAAAAATATATCTTTAAGACCGCCACGAAATGTCACAACAATTAAAATAAATCTTCTGTCCGAATATGAGATGGATGAGTTGTACGAATATTTTCGGCAACGCTTCTACGATTTTTGAAAATGGCACAAACGCTCAACTTCTGGGACTCATTAGAATTCCAATTGGGCGTACTGATGAGATGAGCGAGATAAGGCAAGATTTAGTGGATTTTGCGATTTTTTTGTGGTTGGATAATAAAACAAAATGCCATCTGAAATAGACAAGGAGTGAATTTGAGGGCACTGGAATTGAATTGCGGCCCTGCAAAACGGTTGAACTGACGTAACCCATAAAAATTTTTTTGGTTCACGTCGGATAGCAAAAAGGACCACAAGGATATAACACATTCCCAAGGTATATAAGGATGGATACTCAAATAAGCCATTAAATATTATTATTCTGCAAACTTCACCTAGATTTATTTTTCAATTTTTGGCAATTTCCTTAAAAGGGTGACGCTAGAAAATAGAATGCAATTTATCGAGTTGAAAAATTGCACCGCCTCCGATGCCATTTCTCAGAAAAAAATCAAGAAACGTAAAAATAGAAAAAAAATCATATTTCGGCGGATATTTTCATACTGAAATCAAATTGCTGTTGTCAACATAAACATTGTTTTGGCAACAAAATAAAACATTTTTCCGTGGAAAACGTACGAAATTTAATAATAAAGATCAACATCTCAAAAGAAAAGAAAAACAAAATCCAAAAAGAAATAGTAGGGCCTTGACCAAAATACGATGGTACTTTTCCCAAAAATAGCTTTGAGTTATATGAGCCATCTGGGAGTAATAGTTGACTAATGTTTAATGACCATTTTTAAAATGCAACTCGCCATTTTATATGTTGCGTAAGAAAATATGATTCTAAGAAACTATCGTAGCTCAGAGCTCGTAATAGTACGGTATCCTACGGTATATCAATTTCATAGGTGAAAAAATTTCATTAAAAAATTTATCCGGGTTGACAATAATTAACATTGTGGAAAGTGAACCCTGAAGTAGACTTCCGGACAACATCATTCCAATAAAATTTAAATTTGTTAATTGAATTTGTCTCCAGAAACTAATGCCTACTACTTTATACATTTCTTTCTGATTAATTAATGATATCTAATATGAGTGTATTCCTATGCAATGGTGTCACAAAAATTTAAAAGTTTCACACGCTCATACGTTTACAAATCTAAATTTAATGTTGCAAATTTCAGGTTTGTAAAGTAGTATTAATCACATTCATGAGAAAATATATATTTGACGTTTTTGTGGTTTTTAGCAGCACAATGTTTGAGAGAATTTTACGAAAATTCCAAAATTTGAATTATTGAAACAATAGTGAATGCTTGAAAATTCTTGAATACCAATTTTATCTTTATGGAATTGAAAGTGATATATGTGTATGTAAATATATACATATGTATATATTCAAGGATACTTATTTATTAATTTGTTATTAATAATAATAAGGAAGTGGAAGGATAAATATCGTCTACATCGCACGACTGCGGAAACCTGGCAAAGTGCCAAGAAAATTTAAGACAACGTCACGGTGTGCTGTATGCGTCTTTAATCTATTTTGATGTAGAGTCCCTAACATATTCACTTTTAGTTTTGTGTCAAAGCCACTGTTATTGTTTTTTTTTTAGATATCTATCCAATTTTCCGAGAATTTATCTTAGCAATTATCTATGTAATGACTTCTATCTTTATTGAATAAATATATACATAAATGTATATAAGTACACATAAAGTGATCGTGCAATTATTCATCAGGTTTTATCGCTGATCTGCGATGGTATATTCATATAGTCGTTGGATTATTGTTACATGGTTCATCTTCACGGCGGAAAACTGTCGATGAGCCACCTGAAAATAAAAACAAGCATAAAGATTTTGTCAATATCGGAAACTGAAAACCAGATAAATATGTATAATTGTATTATTCTTTACTCTTCTGTAAATTAAACTAAAAATTTATAGTATATTTCATTTGAAAAATAACTTTCAATTGTTGTCACATTGAATATTCAATTGACTATGTGATAGCTATGGTTTAACTAATTAGCTAGAACCAAATTGTGCAATTTTTTGTGTCTATAAGACGAAAGTGGGCAGTCTCTGACAAAACAGTTTCTCAAACACAAATCTCAAATTTTTAGCCAGCCGATACCATTTTGGAAAAACAATTTTGCAGATTATAATATTTAGATCTTCGTTTTCGACCGATGAGACTATTAAGTATTCTCGAAACGTCACCATCTCAGATCTAAAAATACAACATATTTAATATTTGAACCCTTAAATGTGCACCCCAATGTTGAGTGGATTTCATTAATACCGAATTAGGCGTCAAATAGACCAACAAAGAAGAATAAATAGAGGCATCTTGATAGCCTGAAACGTTCGTCTGGATGCTTCATCATGGATTTTCATAAATCGAATGCAGGTTATCACGTAGCTCCCCATTGCGATCAACCGATGCGTGAAATGTGTTTTTTCCATAGCAATTTCCATTCATTCCACCTTTCCTCTCATTATTATTACTTTCCGTCAAAAAAGCCCCAACATTTCTTCATACTATTATTTACAATTGTTTTCAAAAATGAGCGTGGTGAGTCCATTGTGTCGGTTATTCTTATTTCGGGACCGAATTTGGGACCTCGGTTGTTTTTTCATTATTTCATTTTTAGTCAATTCTTCTTCGTTTCTTGATTTTCGTTCACGCCCATAAATTCGCCACAATGCAAATTTTTCTTTCATGTCGATGTCGGTACAACGCCACACTTTACCGTACAAGTGTGGCAAAAAAATTTAATGGAATCTGTTATTGAAGAGCTTTAAGAATTTTCACATCAGACAAGACCCGTAATTCAAATTTTTCAGCGTTTTCTTTTAATATTCCCGATGTAAATTTTAAAAATAGTAGTTCTCACGATTAATAGGATATTTTGTTACTTTTGGATAACGTTCGTGCGCATACTTAGAACTTTAATGTGAATTTTACAACATATTTGCGGTTTTTTCTTCATTTAAAATCGAAAATCATTTTATGATACGAGAAATTCTGGAATTTCGCTCATATAGTTAAACAAGCGACTGCACATGAATAGGGATACAATGAGAAATCGTCTATTTAAACTATTGCCACGGCGGGTCATTAGAGCATTCTTTCTTCTTGACAATAATTATCCCCAAGAAAACGAGAAAATGGCTCTAAATCTTCCGAGTCGACATGCAACAGAAAGCAGGAAGTACAACTACTGAATGAGTGGGTTCATGGAAACCACCAATGGGAATTTTGAGACTTCCGTACTGTTTAAAAACAATCAATATTTAAATTTTTCTAAAAATTACCCTAGAGTTAGTTTTTGTAAAAAAAAAAACAATCTCGAAGTGAAGTATCAGTGACGTACACAACACTCCGTTTAGTAATTATCGTTCGTTCGAGAACATTAGCAATTCACAAAAATACATAAAGCCGACCACGAAAACAACGCTGTATTTTGTCTGAAATGTTTTTTTCGCTTAAACTATTGTGATACAACACCAAAGGAGAAATAGAAGAGAAGCCATCAGACTTGGTTGATTTTTGAAACTTGTGAGAAAACAATGGAACGAATCGAATTAAGTCTATCTTACATTTTGGAAAAATCTAAAGTTTGGTTTCTAAAAATGGAAACTTCAAGGAACTAAAGTTATATTTCAAAATGTACAGGAAATCAATTGTTTACACAATATGATGATATCCTTGATACAAATATCTTGTTTTTCTCATTATGGGCCAAATATTGATACATTTCTTGAGTTGACTATTCTTATATTTTTTTAGCTGTCTGGTTACTCATATATAACTCCAAGAATAATATGGTTATTAATTGCGGCTATCAGTTTATGTAGCCACAAAGATCTTTTTGTCACATAGACACTGTTGACTTGAGCAATGAAAGTTTGCTTTTTTTGAAATTTATTTTTCAAGACAGATCACTTTTTTTTCATTTTCTCCTATCAACCAAAGGTTCAAATTGTTTTTTGTTATTCATTTCTGAGGGGCAAGGGAGTTTTTCGGCGCCAATTTCATTTTCTATCTATCTGTGATTTGGTTCAGGTGTCATCTAAAACGATTTCATAGTGAAATTTGTGTTGAAATGAGTCGCGTAAAAATTGAAATTCGCCGAAAATCGGCATAAAAAGCGGCTCGGCCCAAATTAATTCAGAATGCTGCGCGATGAAAAAAAAATCGTTGCTGGTGTCCGGAAAATCATTAATTCAGCTCAAACTTCCAAAAAATCTTGTTTCATTTTATTTTTTTCATCCCACTCAATTTTTGAAAAACTATTTCTGATTTCTATTGATGTTTCATGACTCGTTTTTTTCTTTCGCGCCTTGTTTTTGATATTTGGGCGTGGCCAATGATGGCAACAAAT